AGTTTCCAGTTTTGGCGGCAGTTCCTGTTTGTCTAGAAGTCTTGTCATCAGGGGCCTCATTTATAAAGGGATATACGCTAAAAAAATGGCGTACGCCAGTTTCTACGCAATGTTTGCGATTTATAAAATACTAACTTGACGGGAAAATGTGCGGTCCTCCACGCAAACTCTAACCCATGCGTACGCACTAAGCACACACACGGGAGAGACGAGAAACTGCGACACCGTTGGCAGAAGGAAGAATGGAGAGAAATATGTGGAAATAATACCATAAATAAAATGTTACCTCTCATTTATCATACAGTATATGAAGAATTCCTTTTCAAACATTGATTAAAGCCAATCTTAAAATGATTAAACAAACGCCTGTTTGAGACTCCTCAGTGCACACAAAAACATAACTTGGAGAAATAAATAAATACGGATATGTTATTTAAAACCACCTCGAATATGTTGTGTTAATGTTATGAAATGTTTTCTCATAAATGATGCGGTAAGCAGAAGGACAGAATTACGTCTAAACTGACGCCGTTTTGCATTTCTATAGGTTGTAGATACGAGCATGGTTTTATATACTATCACGTTTAATCGTGTTTTATGCCGTTTGCCAAGACTTTATAAGTCGCTCGTAAAACACAGGAGGTATGGAAACTAAGAACACCATATGTGGTAAATTGTACAGCTAATATAACACAACACATTAGTTGTATTTCCTTTAACTGGTGGATTATGGATATATAGTTGCTGATCGACAGCTGGAACACAAACCACCAAATACAACAAAATCATTCAGATCCAGTCGTCATGACTCCACTCCGGAGGGATTCCCCCATCATTTCTTACAGTTTCTCATCAAGGGGGTGTCTCCTGTCCCCGGTACAAACACACTGCCTGAGGAAGGTTATGTGTATTTTCTTTGTCATTAACTTTATTCGGACCACTTATTTATTTATTTATTTTGGTGACGATCCGACCTCCATGCTGCTACTCTGGTTCAAACTGCATCCACCAAACAATATGATTTATCTCGACCTTCCCAAAATAACCAAAATCTGACACGCTGTGAGATGTCTTTTTTAGCTGTTCGGTCGTAATTTCCTGCGATCTTCTTCATGCAGTCAGTCAAAAATGAATGAATGATTGGAAGTTTCTTTGACTATTTATAGGCAAATATGGGCGTTATGTGAAGCCTGCAAAAGCTGCGCCGCATTTCGAGTCGATTGTGATTTATAAAGGGAAACAGGCGTAGGAAGTGCCGTACGCACTTCCCTCGCCGGTACGCAATGTTTTGTGAATCGGAAAATGTTGGAACATTTCTGTACCTATTTTTTTGCTTTGTACTACGTAAGCAACCTTCTCACGTCAATCCTACGCAAGGCGTTATAAATGAGGCCCCTGGGCTCTATAAATAGAGTTAACTACGGCAGATATGTCATATTTAATGCAGCCGAAACGTGTATTACAATGCCGTTATGTGATGACTTTCAAAGAGAAAAGCAAGCACACTCGGAATAATGTATTATTTATTTTTTTATACAGTCTATGGTTGCTACAGAGGATTGTGGGTAATGTCCGTCAAACTTCCGGGTTCCTCCATGGGATCTTATTTCGGAAAAAGTATGCATTGAAGTCAATGGAGAGAGAAAGGTTATCTTTCGATCCCGTTTGAATTGTGCCAAGAATTACACATATGATGTTTGTCAATCTTAAATAATAATTTCCATGTCAAAAAAGTCACAGTTTGTCGTAAAACTGTTGAAATATAAGACTATGAAATGTGTGTGTATGTACAGCTCTTAACATGCCCAGACTTGTAGTGATTTTCACCTCTTTTAATACTTTTAAAGGGCCCATGTCATGCTTTTCCGGTTATTACCCGTCCCCTTGTGTGTTATGAAGGTTTTTATGCATGTAAACGGTGTGCAGAGTCACAAACCCTCAAAGTACACCCTGTAGCGAGTAAAACTCTAACACAGAAAATACCTCCCCAAAACGCCTCGTTGGAGATACGTCATTGTCCATTTGATTCTTCCATTTAGTTCCGGGTACGGCATGATGTCAAGCCGTACCCGGAACGAAATGGACCAATCCGTGGAGCCGTTACGTTACGTCCGCGGAGCCGTTACGTTAAGCCCCCGCTGATTGGTCCAAATTGACCAATCCACGGATTTCCTCACACACACATCTGTGTGCAGGGAGCAGGCAGCTCAGCTGATTTCTCCTCCCTGGCTGCAGGCTGATAACAGACAGTTGGGATCGCGGCGAAATTCTCTCTGCAGACCCATTTTCACAGCGTTTATCAACCTTTTTCTTACTCAATATCAAGCCACACTTATTGTTTTTACTTCGGCTGTGACTTTGTGTGTGCTCAGGATGAGTTTGGCTGTGTATCGCTAACAAGGAAACAACACCTCCACGGAGCTCAGCGCGATTCACAACGTCCCGACCAATCAGAGCACACAGGGAGGGTGGGGGCTGGAGCTATTGGAGCTACAACGAGCCGTTAAAGGCAGAGAGTGAAATTCAGTGAATACACGTAGTTTACAGAGATGCTGTATGAGAAACCAATGTGAGTTTGGAAAATTGCACAATATAAATCTATTCTAGTAGACCTCAACAATGGAATTATGATCAGTGGAAATGGCCATGACATGGGCCCTTTAATACCACATTACGTCACACGTTTGATGCGCGCCCGTGATTGAAAATCTCTTTATTTAAAAAATACGGGGAATACGGATCTCGGGGTCTCCCTGCTCCCTGTGCGCAGATGCGACGCGTCATATGACGTCACATGTTTGGCATGTCTCGATTGAATATGCTTTATTTAAAACAAAAACAAGGACAATAAACAAAGCAGTCTTCACAACGGCCGGACAAAATACTTTGAGCCGCCCTATAGCCAAAGCCAAAGTTTAAAGCATAATAAAGACAATATATAGAGAGCATAATGTTTTTAATGCAATGCAGCAACGTATGCTTCAGCAGAGAATGGCTCGCGGCGGGAAGCATTCGCTCGCGATCTCAAAAAGCCTATGGACATCCCGGAAAGTTGAAAATGTACGCTAAGGGCCGCCCCCTTGCGTTGGAAAATGACCACAGGGGACCTTGACATAACGTCAACATACGCCGACCTGGGAGTGAGGATGTGTTGGTTGCCCCGGTTCAGGAGAGCTCTCCTCCGGATGACGTAAAAAAAGCTGCATAAGCGGCTGCCTCATAACCTGTCGGTTAATAGGCAGCAGGGCTCGCTGCATAAACCAGCTGTCTTTAAAACCTGTCGGTTGATTAGACAGCACAGGTTTTTTTCCTCTGTCGATGTGCCTCCTACACACACCTCCGCTCATTCCTCAAGTGGGTTTGAGCGTGAACGCGCCTCAATGTCCTGTTTACGAGCCTTCTCCTAAACAGCGACATGATGAGAGCCGCTGTACAATACAGCGTGTGGAGGTGCATAAACCAGCTGTTTTTAACCTGTCGGTTAACAGACAGCTGGGCTCGCCGTTTGAGACGGCTACTTCTAACCTGTCGGTTAGCAGGCAGCACGGTTTTTCCTTTGTCCCAGATGTGCCTACTACACACGGTCGTAATGAGCCTAGGGCTGTTATTACGCACTGTGTGAATAGCACTGCACACACCTCCGCTCATTCCTCAGCAGGTATGAGCGTGAACGTGCCTCAATGTCCAGTTTACGAGCCTTCTCCTAAACAGAGACAGGATGAGAGCCGGTGTGAGATGCAGTGTCTGGCAACTACAACTAAATTTACATATTTTACCGGGATTTAATTGTAATACACGTTTCAAAATGATGCCGAAGTAATAACATACTAATACCGGTTAGTAAAAACCATGAATTAATGCTTTGACAAGTCTGCAGACAAGACAGCAGGCGAGAAACCTTTTAAAATGCGTGTTTTCTGAATGGGGATCGGCTAAGCTAACGTTGTATATGCTCCGACCGTCCACACTCACAACAACGGCCTATACAGACATAAATAAACCAGCGACTGTATTCACCATGACACAGACAGTCTGTGGTTTGTACTTGTTTAACTTCTGTCTAGTTTCTGAACAGATATGAGGAGCTGTGAGCTCTGAGTGCTAACAGCTAACGGCTGATGTTGGTTTTGTGTTTCGCATTGAAGATGACGTCACGGCTCCGCCCACACTGCGTTACTATAGTTACTGCCCCAGGTACTAAACTGTAATGGAAATGCAGCATAAAGTGAGCCTGGCCTAACAAGGCCTAACTATACCGTACTAAGCCAAGCGAGGCCCTGCAGTGGAAAAGCGCCATTCGAGGGCGAAGCCTATACGATATAGAACTGGGGTTACGTACTGTAACCCAGCTTCTATGAGTATAGGCGCAGCCCTCTAAGGTTCGGGCCCCACTGGCTCCGTGAATAGCTGAAGAAAAGCTGTTTGTGTGGGAGCAGATTGTCGGGCCTCCTTCCTATTTATACGGAAGTGAGTCCGTAGGTGGGGCCCACGTCGTAGGTGGGCGTGGATTAAGTCTGTCAGTGCTGCGCATGCGCAGTGGGATTACCCAATAGCGATAGCCTTAGAGGGCTGCGCCTATACTCATAGAAGCTGGGTTACAGTACGTAACCCCAGATTATCAATGTGGGCCGCCGTGCCGACTTAATTAATTTGTAATTGTTACTTGGCTGTGGGTGCCCTGTCATGATAGGTGTTTATATAAATGGTGTTGTTTTGTGTGGTAGAGGGTCGCTGTCATTGATGCGTCGTTGTTTTGATATTCCGCTGAAGTATACGCTTTGACGTAATAACTCTTCTTTTTTCTTTTCTTTTTTGAGGGATGGGGGGGGTCAGAGGGCCTAGGTATAAAAGTCACGGCTCGCCACTGGAAGAAAGAGACTTAGCAAACAAATGTACTGAACTGAACTGTAACTGAAGGGTTGGCTCCTTATCTCTCAACACATCAAAACATCAAACTTTGCTCACATAAATACATGAAACAGAAATGTTTTATTTCCAGAAGGATTTTTACATCATTTTTAACATAAAACGCATACAGGCAGACCTCGTATAGTGATTACGAATTAGCTTGGTACAATGTCCAATTTAATTTGTGCTTTTAGCATTTTTGCTAACTGATTGACTAACTGTTTAAGCACCAGTTTTATTTCTGACTGAATTCAGGACACATTGTTTCAATGTTAAACAATTATTTGATGGTAAATCTTCCAGACTGTAGCAAGACACAAGTAGCCACGGTAGCTCAGTGGGTGGTCCTTAGCGAATGGTCAGTTGGAGGCAACAGAGTGGTGCAGTAATGAGTCCTAAAACCCGGAAAATACTTTCACCACTTCCTGCTCCCTCCCTTCTCGAATTCAAAGGTTTTTTGTATGTGTTTGTTGTTAGAAGCCTGAAATTAGGTCTGTTGTTAACTCAAGCTTACAAGATTTTTACGTTTTCTTCTACGACATAAAACACATGAGTATACTGTACACCCCACCCGGGAATGTCCGAAGCTCCTATGTGTTATGAAAACCGCGGTTGCTAACAAGTGTCTAAATGAGACTAGTAAATGTCATCACGGCATACATTAGCCTCTTTAGCTTAACGATGGAGGTGCTCAGCCATGTGACCGTGATTTGTAGTTTGTTTATAGTCTAACGTTGGGTTTCACTATAGATTGCATTTACGCAAAAAAAAATCATTGGCTTTTTGTTGAGGGAGCTCTTTGCGATGCTAACTTCCAGGTCGGCCCACTGTACAAAAATACGTCATCACTGCACCACTCTATACGGTCTTCTTTTAATAGAATTGCCATTTACATATTCACATCACATTAGTTGTCTGTAAACGTTCACACTCCATCCATCAATCTACAATGACATTTTATATAGAGCCCTCACTTAATAAACTGGTATTCTACAGTTATGGTTAATCAATCAATTATATATCAAGGGTTTTTATGCAGACACCGGAACATCACAACATGAACATCTTCGTGTGTGTGTGTGTGTGTCACTCTATTGCCTCCTCTTCTTCGCTGTAGTCGCTGAGAGGAAACTCACGACTCTCGTTCTGTGTGTTGTAGGTCCTGTGCATCACACACTCCTGGTCAATAATGGCCTGCAACACACACACACACACACACACACACACACACACACACACACACACACACACACACACACACACACACACACACACACACACACACACACACACACACACACACACACACACACACACACACACACACACACACACACACACACACACACACACACACACACACACACACACACACACACACACACACACACACACACACACACACACACACACACACACACTTGATCAGTGGACCTACCTGCATGTCAGTGTAATTTGTGTGTAATAGAGAGGTGATTAAGTATAAATGTTTCCTCTGCAGCTTTAAAGGCAGCTGCTTCTGATCTGTGATGATCAGTCTAATCACGGTGTAATGACTTCACACACACAGAAGTCTTTGGCTGCAACATCACAGAGACATACACACTTCCTGCTGTTTTGTCACAACCTGCCGTGTGTGTGTGTGTGCCTGTGTGTGTGTGCCTGTGTGTGTGTGTGTGTGTGTGTGTGTGTGTGTGTGTGTGTGTGTGTGTGTGCCTGTGTGCGTGTGCCTGTGTGTGTGTGTGTGTGTGTGTGTGTGTGTGTGTGTGTGTGTGTGTGTGTGTGTGTGTGTGTGTGTGTGTGTGTGTGTGTGTGTGTGTGTGTGTGTGTGTGTGTGTGTGTGTGTGTGTGTGTGATTTGGTGTTGTTGGCAGAGTGTTTTGGGGAATCTGTTCAGGATGCACCATGTTAAACCTTGAATCTCTTTTGGCTAAAGTATCTAAAAGAAAGCTTAGTGAGAATTTACCAATCTTTTTCAACTCTACCACAACCAGGCTTGGGGTGTAATGGGTTACATAACCTGGAAACAGAAAAGGTTAACCGTATTCCCTTACAGTTACATTAAAAAGAAATTCAGAGTTGAGCACATTTAAAAAAATGTGAGAGTACTTCGGTAAATAAACTGCGCACTGAGTATGGTGTGTCTCACTAAGATGTTTTTGTGCTTTTTAAATGATTTAGATTGTGCTGTTTGAATAAAATGTACTGTATTATTGTAGATGAACGACTACATTTGGAAAAAGGTTTCACACGTGACCTGTGGTTTTGCTCACTGGTTTCACTTTTATATGGATATTTACCATTTTTTCCTCTTTGACTGCAGGGTTACGTAACAGGAAGCAGAGTGGCGCGTACAGGATGTTGATCACCCCGATAAACACCATGAGGCAGGGGAAACCCACCACCTGAACCAGAGCGCCCCCTGTAGATGGTCCTGGATCAGCAGCAGAAAGAGACCTTTAATTATCATTATCATCAGAATATTCATCTTTGTCCAACTCATGTGAAAAACTCTTTTGACAGCAATATCTTTATTTTCTTTAAAATACATTCAGAAAACAGTTAAGTTTGAGTTTATATTTTTTACATGTTAGTATTGTTATACTCAAAGAGATACGATGTATATTTAAAGTTAAAGTTTTCTTCCATTATCGTGACACTTCATTATTCATTTTAGTTATTTTCATATTATGTAAATGCGAGGTGTGTGTGTGTGTGTGTGTGTGTGTGTGTGTGTGTGTGTGTGTGTGTGTGTGTGTGTGTGTGTGTGTGTGTGTTACCAATAGCGAACCCCAGACACAGCGCCACGTCTGCGATGGCATAGATGCTGCCGTAGACGGAGGCGTGACGGATGTCAACCAGGTAACCCATGATGGCCATCATGGAGGTGTCCACCATACCTGCAGGAGAAAAACATTCAGCTCAACAACTAACAATCAGAAAAGAGTTTCCACATTTACTATAATTAAAAATCAAGTCTGCATTAGTTAACGTGCAAACACATTCAATATGTGTGATTTAATGAGATAATGAGCTGTTTTTATTATCACCTATAGCGAAGCCCAAACCTCCGTTAGGTCCAATCAGGCCATAGATACTGGTGGCAAAAGGAACCTGATGCACAAACACACACACACACACACACATATTAGCAGTTCTAGTTCAGTAAGTTATGGCACATTAGTTAAATTGGTTGTTTTTAACATTAAGTTTGGTATCTGGTAATGAGAACTGTGAAGAAGTGTATAAAATGACACACGTTCCGTTTAAATATATGAAACCAAGTCTTACATGAGTTCCTGTAACAATGGCTGAATCAAAGAAGAACAGGCTATTATATTGATAAATGAATAGTATACTTACACACAGCAGACTGATGCCAACGATAAACATCCCTATCATGGAGCAGAGCCACCTGGAGACACAGAAATACACATCAGCCATCTGTTACACCTGCAGGTTTACCGGAAGTCTTCAGGTCAGGTCTGAACAGGACTCAGACTCTCCATAAAAGTGAATCAGTTAATCTGCTGATTAAACCTCTTCCTCTGAGAGCTCTTACGGAATGAACAACACACACACTCACACTCACACTCACACACATACACACTGACCGTCCCATCTTGTTGGACAGAACACCAAACAGGTTCGTTCCTATCAGGTAGGAGATACTGGCAGGGAGGAAAGCTATACCTGTAAAACAACACACATCCGTTAAAAAGGGAGAGGTGAGGGAGATATAAGGAAGAAACAATACTTAAGGATAAAAAAGGAAGGGAGAGAGAAACTTAAGGAGAGAGGTATAGGAAGGAAGGACCAGAAAGAAGGAGAGAAGGAAAATAAAAAAGGAAGAAGGGAAGGAAGGAACATAAGGAGACAGGAAGAGAGGAACATAAGGAGGAATGAAGGAGCAAAAGGTGGACGTGAGGGTGGAAGGAAGGAAAGAAAAAACAATGGGACATAAGGAGGAAGGAATGAACAAAGGGGGGTGGGAGGCACATAAGGACCAGTGGCGGCCGGACCAGTGGCGGCCGGACCAGTGGCGGCCGGCCCATAGGGGCGCTAGGGGCGCCGCCCCACCTCTTCCCACATTCTAGATACTACATAAAAAATACTTTCATTTTATGAATTTTATACGGCTTGGCTAACTACCTGTAGCAACACCAGTGCTATATTTGGCTTCCCCTGCCTCCCTTTTCAAACGTCAGGATCAGACCAGTCTGTGGACCAGACCCAGCATGGATCCAGACAGATGTGAGTGACTTAAAGCACATATCAGAAAAAACTAAAAAGCATGAACAAACTAGTGTCCACATGGATAATGCTATGCGACTAGCCATGTTTAGGAAAGTAAACACAGCTGTCCAATGAGGGCTACAGGATAGGGATCAGTGAGCATAATAAGGAGGTTGACAAAAACAGGCACTAAAATAATAGACTGTATCAAGTGCTGTGTGCCTTTGAGCTAGCCCTGCGTTGTAATATGACATATGCTTTGAGTTTGTGTATAAGTTTGCTTAAATGTTGGTAGAGCCCCCCCTGGAGAAAAATGCACCAGCCGCCACTAATAAGGACAGAGACATTTCTGCGAAAATCAATGTATGAGGGTCATATTCATACTTTTATGGAGTGTTTGTCATAATTCAGCTCAAACTAATCAACATATATGAAGTATAAAGCTTTTCACAAAGTTTTAGGTTGATTAAATGTATTATGTTTCACTTAGGTTTGTTGAAACCAATAATATTAAATTTAACCTAATACAGTATTTTGTATTTTGCAATTAATATTATTGCTTTCAACTAACCTAATACAGTTATGTGAAATTTGATGACATAATACATTTAATTAAAGTCTGTTTTTTCAGTGCATGCAGGAAGGAAGTAGGAAAGGTGGGTGCAGACGGTGACAAACCAAGTTGCCATTTAGGGGAGCACATGGTCTGCATCATCCAGATGGGCAGGGTCGGCTCCAGGATGGCCACACCCATGTTGGCAAAACACAGAGAACCTGCAGATAGACAGATCCCAGACATATGATATTCTCTACAGACATATTTGTTTTTTGGGGGGGAAGATGTGGATGTAGAGGTGAGTGTGAGGAGCGTCTTCTTACCTGCACTAATGAGGATGTACGGGTCCTTCAACAGCGTCAGTAATGGCGTCCCCTCCACACTCTGAAACACACAAACTAGAGCTGGTTATGCTAGAACAAATCAGATTGGACCAGAACAAATCACTTCAGACTGGACCAGAACAAATCACTTCAGATTGGATCAGATGGGTACAGTTAGAAAGTGGACTCACCCCTGGGGAGATCTTTGAAGGCTGGAGGATGAACAGCTGTAATGCTGCAATACATAAATGCAAACATCAGGACGTGCTAACTGGAGTGGATCAGTGTGACATCACCAGCATGTAGGCGGTCACATTCAAACCCCTATCAGCAATAACTTTATTTATAGATGCAGTTAATTATTGATTAGATCAACTTTAGTTAGATTAATATCCACGTATCTTGTTAGCATTAAACAGCTCCAGCTCCCATGAGTCTAAGCAGGTGTTCAGGCCAGAAACCAGATCAACTCAGATTACTGGGACACCGAAATGCAGAAGTCACTTCACACCACTGGATTTAAACATATAATATATGAAATGTCTGAGATAAAACTGCACTAAGAGACTTCTAATTATTTATATATTATTGGATGTTTTATTTTAAGTCTTTAAGTTTATACAAAATATTTGTATATTATTTGATTCTGTCATATCATTCTTCATTAAACTTACTTATACTTATAAAATTACTTTTAGCCTGTTGCTGTGTCTAGTGAATGAGAGTTGTTAAGCACATTCATGCTAACAGACTGGTTGATTGCATCCCCATCCTTGTAATCAGATGAATAAAGGAGCAAATTGCATTCAGCTGAAAAACGTCATGGGCATGTTTTGGCTGGTATATCATTGGCTCAGTAACCTGACCTGCACAACGATTGTAGGTGATCGCCCTTAATGGAGCTATTGGCAACCACTAATAATTGGTTTTATATCAGTCAGTGAACCTATGAAAGTTTTTACCTCCATCAAACACAGCCAGGAAGGCCAGGATCAGGAAGGGAGCGCGCTTCCCTACAAACTCATACATCACACTGCCGAATGGAGCTCCAACTGAAATACAACACAAATATTAAACACAGGACACAAATCTAAGGAGAAACATATTTTTTAACATAATGACATCTTGTTTTTTTTAATTCTTATTCTTTACTATATTTTTCTTTTAAAAGAGACAAGGAAGAAGGGAGGGGAATAACATATGTCTCACTCAGGACTCCCATAGCCAGTCCTCCCAGTGCGATGCCCATCGCAATGCCTCTCTCCTCATCATCTGTGTACACAGTGGCCAGCATACCTAGACCTACACAGTCAGTCACACACACACACAGTCACACACACACAGTCACACACAGTCACACACACACACAGTCACACACACAGTCACACACACACACACACACACACACACACACACACACACACACACACACACACACACACACACACACACACTTTAATACTCAATAAATTATTTTCTGTAATCTGAATGTGTGATGATATTTCACGGTGGGAGCGTATACCTGCCACAGACGAGAAGGATGAACCAATTCCTTGCAGAGAACGAGCAAAGAACAGCAGAGCGTACGTCCCTGAGAACGCAAACACTGGCACACACACACACAAGAAAATATATATATAAGTACACACACACTGAAAAAACTGAAACGTTGGCTTTAATTAAATGTATTATGCCAACACATTTTCACATAACTGTATTGAAAGCAATAATATTAACTTAAACCTAATATTTTGTTATTCAAACGTATCAAAATATGTATTGCTTTCAACTAACCTAATACAGTTTTGTGAAATGTGTGACACAATACATTTAATTAAAGCTGACGTTTCAGTTTTTTCAGTGTATGATTATAAATATCTTTATATTAAACACACGGTCATCATGTATGTGTGGTGTGTGTGTGTGTGTGTGTGTGTGTGTGTGTGTCAGGGTTTTCACCAATGATTTTCAATGACTCTTCCATGACTTCTCCATGACCTTTACCTAAGTTTCCATGACCAAAGAAAATACTCTTTCTCAGCGGTACCACTGAAAATGGTTTATTTGAACATGGAACAGGAAAATAAGGTCTGCATATGAAACATATTGTGCCTATCTAAAACAAATCAAATAGTAGGCTTACTAGATTCTACACGCTAAAGCAACTCAAATCTCTCACCAGCAAAATACCTCGTCAGTTAAATGCCATTTTATGTTTCATTACTATACAATACAGTATTTATTATCATTATAGTATTACTATTTCGGCGATTAGATAAAATATAAATTATATTTGATGCAACTTTAGTTACATTTCCATGACTTTTCCAAAACTTTGGGAAAAATATTGTTTTCCATAACTTTTCCAGGGCCTGGAATTTGCATTTTGAATTTCCATTACTTTTCCAGGTTTTTAATGACCGTAGGAACCCTGGTGTGTGTGTGTGTGTCTAGGTGTGTGACTTACTGATGGTTGACACAAACATGATGATGAAACCAGCAAACATGGGGATGTGATACCCGACCCTGCAGACAGAAAGAGAGACAATGAAATAATGCAACACTTATTTACTGAGACCAACAAACATATGAAACAGGAAGTTGATTTAAGACTTACAAGAACACATTTTAGACCTGAATGGGATACAACCAAGCCCCAGGTGGAGCACCACAGCACATTTTCCTAGGTGGTACTATATTTCTGTTCTAGTTTGTGACATTGGGCCCAAAAATACTTTTTCTTATTGACTTGCATACAGAAAGAGATGTCTGTAAATCAATGTTTAATATTTTTTTAGCTAAATAAACTACCACTTATGAACAATTTAATAGCCTTTATTTCATTCAATAGGGTCTAAGAGTTGTAAATAGCGCTAAAAGCAGAATCTACAGTTATTTTCCTTTTCTACTCATTTGACTGAGCCGAGAGCTCATCCCAAATGATCCCAATATACCTGATCAATATACAGTTTTAAGTGCAAGGGTCCCCTTACCTTTTGGCAGATGTGGACGAAATACTCAGATTGTGTACTTAAGTAAAAGTAAAACTACCAATGAGCGCAAATACTCTGTTACAAGTAAAATAATTTAAAATGTTACATAGTTAAAAGTACAAAAGTATTAGATTCAAAATATACTTAAAGTAACAAAGGTAAAAGTATTCATTGTGCAGATTGGTCCATTTCAGAATAATATATATGATATGTTTTATAATGATTGATCATGAAAGTGTTCTCAAAGCTGGTAAAGGTGCAGCTAGTTTGAATGACTTTGTATACTGCAGGGTAGCTTGTGAATTTACTCCAGGTGGAACTAAAGTCTGATTTAACACTTGATTATATTTCACATCATTCATCCTAATCTGTAAAGTAACTAAAGGAACCAAATAAATGTAGTAAACATACAACAATTACCTCAGAATTGTAGTGGGGTAGAAGTACAAAGTATAACCAAATTGAATACCTACCTAAAAAGTAAAGTACAAGTACCTTAAAATTGTACTCAACCAAAGTACTTAGTTACTTAACATCACTGCCTTTTTTACCCTTGTGCCTGTGCAGCTAGTAAATAAACAGTTCAGTGTCTGCCCATGCAGATACCTGTTGGTGAGCGGTCCAACGAAGGGGTTGATGAGCAGCTGGACGATAGCTTTAGAGGCAAACAACAAACCAACTCGAACATTTTCCTCCTCCAGAAACACACTGTCCTGAAGACATGAGGACTCCTGCAGAGAAGAGAGAGCATGTGTATAAACCCACCTGTATACACTGTATACCCCCTGCCAGTGGCGTAACTATCGACGGTGCAGCCGGTGCATGGGCCCCGAGCCGGCAAGGGGCCCATGCAAAAATTTTAAAAAAAAAAATTAAAAAATAAAATGTAATATTCTTTTTTAATATTTTGTTTTTGGGGCCCCAATGGCATTGACCGGTTCACGCAGTCTTCAAAGTAACCAAGCAACCTAAATTAATTTGTAATTTGTCTGTCCAATGACCTTGCTCCCTTTCATGTCATGTGATACCTTGCTTGACGAGCGAACCGTTTAATCAACCTGTGCTGTACTGTAGCTAGCAGCAGCAAGTTCGTAATAAAAAATGTAATAGCTTGCATTTATAATGTACAGCAAAACAACGCACAATAGCAGCGCTCAAAAGAGAAAGGACACGAGAGAAGAAGGAGATGTAACAGCTAAACTGACAAAATTAGACAGTTTTTTTTGTCATACATCATCCTCGAAATCGAGCGCTAACGTTAGCAATGTTGACGTGCAGTGGCAGCCGGAGCCGGAGGCTAACGATAGCTCACCACCATCATTGCCATCTAGCTCCACAAGTGAAGCTGTATCCGTGGCCGTGGCTGTGCAACCTTCTTCTCCAGCCAGCCAGGAGGAGAGGCTGGATTTGGCTGTGCCCGGCGGTGGTCCAACAGTTCCCCCAAGGGCCCCAACCGATAGGGGACTCTATGGCGCTATTGAGACCCCCGACGCCAAGATCAAAAGCTATATTATAGCAACCGGTCTATGTAGGCCTACCGGCCCATTCCTCAGAGACAAACATCAAGGAAACAGGTTTAATCCTCTTCTTAGTTCGCTGTGCCGTTGTCAGGCTGTGGTGGTCTGAGGCCAGGGCAGGCTGACAGTATACATGTGGCGCTTCTGAGTGGTTGTGTATGTCCGTGTGTGTGTGAGCGCATCAGCGTGCGCTTATGTTTGGGGCGATGGGGGGGGGGGGCCCCCAAAACAATATTTGCACCGGGGCCAATCACAACCTTGTTACGCCACTGCCCCCTGCACTCTCAGTGTCAGGTGAATATCACCTACTGTAGTTGCGTTGATCTCCTGTTCTGTGTTCAGGCCACTCCGGTCCATGGTCTCTTGGTAAGGGGTGGGCTCAGTCCGAATCTCCTGCAGGCTGAAGGTAGAGTTGTCAAACAGGGACACCAGAGGAGACAACCGGGGGCTCTGATCTGACTGTGTACCCAGGACCGGTGCACTGTGGCTGGGCTGAGGGAGATCCGAGCTCCTGCTGGAGGTCTGGAAGTTTAACCTGGGGGAGGGGGACTGTGCGGTCACCGTGCCCAAGCGTGGTGCACTGAGGCTGGGCACAGGGACCAGGGAGGGCTGGGCAGTCTGGAGCTCTGAACTGGGATGCTCCATGGCGTAGAGGAAGGTCGGGATGATCGGCACTGGAGGAGGAAGATAACTGGTTCATTTAGGGTTTCCTGATAAAGTTAATTAACACCATGAACATATATGTCCTGTAAAAAATGTTCAGTGCAGTGATATAGTTTGTCTCTTTTGCTTTGTATCTTTGTATTTTTCATGAAACCTCACCAGGGACAATAATTTCACCGCCTAAAATGTATTACATTAATACTACTGAATTAAGTCTTGTTTAAACCTGCGGGAGACACCGCGCTGAGGTCTTCCAGGCCACATGTAAAATATTGACAGCCATATATTGCCTTTATACAATCCCCGTAAAGAAAGAAGTCAACTATTTGAAATATCAAATGTATTTTAATTAAGCAGGGGTTAAATATCCTGTAAACAATTTCATTCATATGGCTAAATATTAACTTAGATTTGCAAAGTTCTCCTGTCATTAAATCATGACGTATATGATGTGTTTTGAATTTTCAAATAAATATTTAAAATGTGCTTTTAACAAGGCATATATTCAAAGTAACGACATATAAAACACATCAGTCGAGGAAGAGCAGCGAAAAAGATTTAATGGGAGAAGAGACCGAAGGAGACAACTGTGAACTAAGAGACTGTAGACTTTAAAGTTCAAAGTCAAAGGGTCATGAGTGTTTGTGTTTGGGTGTGTGTGTGTGGATGTGTGCGTGAGTGTGCGTGAGTGTGTGTGTGTGTGTGTGTGCGTGAGTGCGTGCGTGAGTGCGTGCGTGCGTGTGCGTGTGTGTGTGCAGCCTTTACAAACAGCTCTTAGTCTAACTACTGACGACAGCTTTAACCTCCAGGTTTTTAGATGCGTCACTAATCTGTTTCCAGCAGCTAGAGGAACATTGGAGGACGATCTGTTACTGTACCATGTCTGGAACAGTACAGTGACAAAAGCATGTGGACAGCTGACCTTATGTGACCCTGGCTTTATGTTAACGTTGTGAACAATGCACAGAGCTTGCCGGCTCTGATGTGATTAGTCAACTGCTTGGAGATGTCCCGCCCCTTAGCCTATCACGTACAATGTGTTGGAGCATTAGCCAATAGAAGTGCGACAGTGTTACAGTGATGTCACTATGTTGCAAAAGTAAACCAAGGAGGAAGCGTTTCAGGCATGGGGGGAGTGTGTGGGGGAAAAACTCCCTCTGAGGGAACACAGGGAATTTAGCTTTGCAGACCATTTGCATATAATTTTCTTTCTATATTATCAAAAGAAAAAACATTTGTTCAAAGCTTTGAAATAAGGCGTTTTTTCAGATAATCTGAAACAGTTTGAAACATGTCTTAGTGTTATGAATGAAAATAAATAAATAATCATATTAATGCCGTATCTTAATGTGTATCTTAACCGACACACATCTGAGGCCTGTACTACGAAGCTGGTTCAACCTAACCTGGATATGTTGGAGTTAGCCGGTTGGCCCAATCCAAAACATACGCGCTGGCGCTAAACTGTACTACAACGCCGGTTATCAAGTGGATCGCTCAAGCCAGCCGTGTCCTATCTAGTTAGGTGCGCGTTCACATAAAAGGGGTGGTATTTGGAGCATTCGACCAATCTCAAACACGGACAAGCGTACTGACAGCGCAGCGTCATACTTCCTGAATGAAAAGTGAACTTTAATATTAGTCAAATATGAAGAAGTTAAACTTTAAACATCCATGACTTAAACACTTTATCCAGGATCAAAGCCACATAGCTGCACCTGCAAGGTGAATACAGCTGGTAAAAGAAAAAGTGTTTGAATGCGTACATTAACAGGTTTATGATATCACCGCCCCGTCCAAGACACGATCTGACTTTAATTACATTTGACTCGAGTGTTTCGTCAACTTAATGTGTTGCTTAAAATAATACTTCTGCATACAGTATGTGACACTGTGAGTGTTGCACGGCCAGATACGGCTCAAGAAGCTGACTCAAATAAGGAAATATATGATACATTATGATGTGATATGATATGCACTCACAGTGCCGCGGACTGTACTTAATGTTACTCTGATCCGGTTACTTATGTCGTGGCAGATATTTAAGTAAGCTTTCTTAACGCTAATATTATAATAGTCAGATTGCTCTGAAGATGGGAGGGGATATTCTATTAATTTTCACGGCCGTCTTTCCTGCAACGGCAGTTTTTCTGTATTTCCTCTATCCTGTAATATGAATTGATCGCTTTAAACTCCGCACACGGAGCTCTGATTGGTCAGCAGGCGGTGCTTTCACTGAGTTGATCTCTTAGCCTGCCAACTAACCTGCTCCGGAGCAGGGGGGTATACTACGAATCAAGATTTTCGTTTAGCAAGCTAACTTCAGGGGTTTCCGGTCCTACGAAGCTGGTTCACTTTTTAGCGGGCTAGATAACTTTTTGAACGGCTATCCTCCGGAGCAGGATAGGTTCCAGGATAAAAGCACTGCCTGCTGACCAATCAGAGCTCAGTGTGCGGAGTTTAAAGCGATCAATTCATATGACAGGAGGAGAAAGGAAATACAGTTTAAACTGCCGTTGCAGGAAAGACGACCGGCCAAAATCACCGAAAATTAATAGAATATCCCCTCCCATCTTCAGAGCAATCTGACTATTATAACATTAGCGTTATGAAAGCTTACTTAAATATCTGCCACAACATAAGTAAACGGATCAAAGTAACATTAAGTACAGTCCGCGGCACTGTGAGTGCAGACGTCGATGTGTCCCATTATCATTCATATCATATCACATCATAATGTATCATATATTTCCTTATCTGAGTCAGCTTCTTGAGCCGTATCTGGCGTGCAACACTCACAGTGTCACATACTGTATGCAGAAGTATTATTTTAAGCAATACATTAAGTTGACGAAACACTCGAGTCAAATGTAATTAAAGTCAGATCCACTCGTGTCGGGGCAGCAGTGATATCATAAAACTGTTAATGAACGTATTCAAACACTTTTTTTTTTACCAGCTGTATTCACCTTGCAGCTGCAACTATGTGGCTTTTATCCTGGATAAAGTGTTTAAGTCATGGATGTTTAAAGTTTAACTTCTTCATATTTGTCTAATATTAGTTGACTTTTCATTCAGGAAATATATGACGCGCTGCGCTGTCAGTACACGGCTTGTCCATGTTTGTGATTGGTCGAACACTCCAAATACAACCCCTTTCATGTGAACGCGCACCTAACTAGATAGGACACGGCTGGCTTGAGCGATCGAGTTGATAGCCAGCGTCGTAGGACCGTTTAGCGAGAGCGTTTTTTTTTTGGATTTAGTCAACCGGATAACTCAAAACATATCCAGGATATGTTGAACTAGATTCGTAGTATACCCCCCAGGTTTGCCGCTCAGCATAAGTTACCATGGAAATCTAGCCTGCTAAAAAGAGAACCAGCGTCGTAGGACCGGAAAGCCCGAGATTTCCCTGAATTTAGCCGGCTAAGCGAAAATCCAGCTTCGTAGTACAGGCCTCTGGAGTGGTTTTACTCACCGACCACAGTCAGCAGCATGTTGTCGAGCAGCAGAGCGACACACACCACCACCAGCACGAGTCGGGGAGAACCTCGACTCTGACGGAGCCAAGCCATGTCTGCACACACACACAAAACACACACACAGACACACATACACAGCAGATTGTTCAGAGTTATTTTGAGTTGCTCTTAGCAAGAGCTCTTGGCATGTCAGCGACAGGTAATCAACATTGATTCTATTCCCAAAATATTATAGACAAAATGCTACAGGAAACTGTAAAGCTTGCAGGATATATTCTTTTAAATCACAAAATGTAATCTTGATAAATAGCTTTACATTTAAGTGTAGGCTATTTGTATGTAGATATTATTTAACATGTCAGTTATGTGTGTTTGTGTTACGTGCCGCAGTTGGTGCTTGTGTGTGTGTGCTTTTGTGTGTGTCTCTCTCTCTCCCTGATTGTCTCCAGGTGCAGCCTCTCCCAATCCCCAATCAGGGCCTCCTTAAAGGACCTGAGAAAGGCTGCAGTGGCCTCTCTCCTTCTCCTCTGGCTGCAGCACGGAGTCTTCGTCTCTGTGTGGGACCTGTGTTCCATCAATTACTAGGATATGTGTTCCAGCATATATTGGTACCATAGTTTACTTTGCAAGTTGGCTGGTGAGCCCGTTTTCTGTTTGTCTATCATTGGTTGATTAAACCTCATTTTGTGGCTTCAGAGATCAGTTTCCTCTCTCTTTTCTCGTGCCTGGTCGTTTCTGTGTTTTGTTACTCCCCTTCGTACCCCTAGATTTGGAGGGAACGTAACAAATGGGGGCTCGTCCGATCTTTGAGACAAAGAGTGAGTATTTGATTGTTTGTTGTTTAGTGTTGATATTGTGTTTGGTGAGCAGTAATGTGTGTATATAAGTGTAGCATTGGCTGTGAAGTCTCTTACTGTTTAACAGCTTCCTCAGTTTAGACAGGGGAGTGTCTAGCTGGGCTGAATCAGTCTTTCTTTCAGGCACTCATTTATTATTTTGCCTTTTTTATTTTCGGGGTAATCCTGGGTGGGGATTTAGTCCCTGTTGGGGGCAGGCGTTTCAGGGTTTCGGCCGCTGATGTTTGCCTTTAAAGTCGCCTCGAGCCCGGCACGCTCCAGAAGATAGGTAGGTAAGTTGTGGTAGGCAGGATCTGGGGAAGCTTGTTATTTGGAAGAGTCGATGTTTGTGTAGCCTCAGATATTTTGCCTGTTGAGTGAGGTGATTTAAGTGAGTGTTGAAAATTAGTTTGTGTGTTTTAGTATGGCCTCCCTTGTGTTGGGTGAGTCCTCTCATACTGGTTCTAAATTAGATGCCAGGTTGAAAGTGAGGTTAGCTAGAGCTGCAGACAGGTTCAGTTGGTACCTCTTCGGGTACACAACCATTGTCAGGTTCTACTACTGCTTTTGATGTTGGTAGCAACATTCAGCTGGTCCCTGTCTTTCGTGAGTCAGAAGTGGAGACCTTCTTTGGTGCATTTGAGCACATTGCTGCTGCTCTGCGCTGGCCAGAAGATGTGTGGGCCATACTTGTACAGTGCAAGCTAGTCGGCAAGGCTCAGGAGGCTTGCTCTTCTTCTGTCAAGGATTGTATGGTGTATGACAATGTGAAAGGTGCTGTTCTCAGGGCATATGAGCTTGTGCCTGAGGCCTACAGGCAGCGTTTCCGCAGCCTGAAGAAAACTTCTGGCCAGACTTATGTGGGCTTCGCGAGGGAGAAGAAAATCCTCTTTGACAGGTGGTGTAGAGCTTGTAAAGCGGATGACATTACCTTAATGTGTGAACTAATGATGCTGGAGGAATTTAAAAACTGTGTACCAGAGCGTACTGTAGTTCATTTAAATGAGCAAAAAGTATCTACCCTTCAGCAGGCTGCCACTCTAGCAGATGAGTTTGCACTTACACATAAAAGAGTTTTTTCTCAGCGTGATCCCCCTCATCAAGAGGGTGATCCCCCTCAGCGAGATTCTTACCATAGAGCTTGTGACAAATACGTCCCCGTGCCAGTTTTCCAGTATCCGGTCCCAAGCTAGAAAAGCCTTGTTTTTTTTGTCATAACCCTGGTCATTTGATAGCAGACTGTGCAGCTTTGAAGCGAAAGCAGGCTGCCACTATGGCGGATGTGGAAGGGATTGTGCTATCACACAGTGGTGTTTTGGCTCATAGCAATTCTCCTCATCGTGTTGGTTTCCGGAAAGCTCGTAACAGGCGTGCCACACATGCTCATTCTGTTTCTCTTCCAGGACCCAAGGAAAAGAGATTGTGTTTCTTTTGTCTTGACCCTGGTCATCTAGTGGCAGAGTGTGTAGCTCGGAAGAAGCAGGTGGCAGCTTCCAAGCGGTCTGTGGAAAAGCCAAAAGACCGGCACCCAGTTGAGATGCGACAGAGTGGTGAGTTGCAGTTAAGTTCTGCGTCCGTCTGTGACAGTGCTGTGGGTGTGGGTGTTCCCGTCTCTGAAGCGGTGGGTGTGGACCTGGCTCGGAGCAATGGGGATCTGTGTTCAGTGAGTGATGTGTGTATTCCATGTGATGTGTGTGTTCCATGTGTTGCTCCGGTGTTGGCTGCTTGTGGGCAGTATAACGTGTGTTTTATGGGGGGGGGGGTGTTACATGCCGCAGTTGGTGCTTTTGTGTGTCTCTCTCTCTCTCCCTGATTGTCTCCAGGTGCAGCCTCTCCCCCAGGTGCTCCCAATCAGGGCCTCCTTAAAGGACCTGAGGAAGGCTGCAGTGGCCTCTCTCCTTCTCCTCTGGCTGCATGGGTGCAGCACGGCGTCTTCGTCTCTGTGTGGGACCTGTGTTCTATCAATTACTAGGATATGTGTTCCAGCATATATTGGTACCATAGTTTACTTTGCAAGTTGGCTGGTGAGCCCGTTTTCTGTTTGTCTATCATTGGTTGATTAAACCTCATTTTGTGGCTTCAGAGATCAGTTTCCTCTCTCTTTTCTCGTGCCTGGTCGTTTCTGTGTTTTGTTACTCTCCTTCGTACCCCTAGATTTGGAGGGAACGTAACAGTTGGCATGCTAACAATAGTAAACACAAAGTACTGCTGAGGTTGACGAATGTCATTAATTCTCTATGGTTTTAAACCAAAGTATCCAAAGACCCATAAATCATAACAGCACTCGATGAAAAGAGGACCACCAAAGTAATTCCAATTCATCCAGAGGGTAACATGAATGGATGTAGACTCTGTGATGTCACATATTTCCAAAAGGTCTTTGTGAACCTCACAACTCCAATCGCCGCCATTTTGTCAGTGACACTGCATAGTTTATGGCTAATTTAAAGAAAAGTCAAAAGGGTGGCTCCTTGGTGGATCTGAAGGGAAGCTGATCCGGATGAATCAACAGGGCAGCTAGATGGCAGAGTCCTGCTGCAGTCACATATTGGTTTTTGCTCAGGAGGGGTCCTAACTGGGTGAAATGGCAGATGAACTACGTGGAAGCCATGACAAGAGCTTGATGAATTCTCTAAATGTTAAGGAAATGTGTACATTCTCCAATAGGGTTGTTAAGATTCACTGTGCTGCAGCCAAACATTAAAATGGTTCTCTCTCCTGCAGTCAGCTGCGATTTCAGGTTTTCATGCTGCCGCCCGCCTCCTCCCCATCCACCTCCTTTCATCATATCCAGTGCCAGGAGAGCTAATCCAAAGACCACATCGCCTCTTCATCCCATCTCCTTATCAAATCCAGATCTTCAGCATCATCACCAGTGTCTAGACCAGACCTGGGCATCGTACGGCCCCCGGGCCACATACGGCCCTTTGGTTGACTCTGACCGGCCCGTGTAAGGCTAATTGGAAATTACAAAATAAACATATTTTCTAACTTTACCTCATGCATGGACTAAAGCTGCATTGCTTTTATTTTGAAGTTGTTTTTTATTCATGTGCATAATGACGCAATACGTATATCAAGACGTGCACATTATTGGATCCTTGTCACAAGACGACTTTAGCCCTCAAAAAAATGTCCGCTAAAAAAAGAAAGGTAGATGCTGAATGCAGGGTTTTCAACAAAAATTGGACTGCCAAGTATTTATTTACTGAAGTCGGAGGTAAAACCGTGTGTTTAGTTTGCGGGGAGCAGATCGCCGTGTTTAAGGAGTACAATGTGAGTCGACATTACGAGACGAAACACGCGGAGAAATATAAAAACTTGACTGACGCTGAAAGGGCGCGGACATCGGAAGCTTTGCTAGCTAAGCTGCAAAAGCAGCAAGGCTTTTTTACCAAGCTTCACACATCCAGTGATGCAGCAACCATGACCAGCTTTGTGATATCCCACAAAATTGCTAAAAACAGTAAGCCGTTCTCAGAGGGGGAGTTTGTCAAAGAGTGCTTGGTGGACTCTGCAGCACTAATATGCCCTGAAAAAAAAGCCGCATTTGAGCAAGTCCCGCTGTCCAGGCGAACCGTGACTAGAAGGATCGAGGACATTGCGGGGAATCTGGAGCTTCAGCTGCAACGTGAAGTGGCAAGTTACGACTTTTTCTCCTTGGCTTTGGACGAGAGCTGTGATGTCCGCGACACAGCCCAGTTACTCGTATTCGTCCGCGGGATAACACCGGACTTCAAGATTACGGAGGAGCTGGCAGCAATGCGGTCGATGAAAGGGACGACGACAGGGAGCGATCTGTTCACGGAGGTAAACGAGTGCATGGACACGCATACATATGTGAACAAACATTTTCAATTATGAAGTTTACGAAATCCAGGTATAGATCCTCTCTCACTGATGATCAGCTGTGCTTCGCATCTCCACCTCAGACATTCAACCTGACTTTGATGCACTCGTTAAAGCCCAGCAGAGACTAGATTTCTCTCACTGAACAAGAAAAGAGAACTTAAAAACACCAAATGAGGTGGTTAGACTACAAATGTTGGCATGTAAAGGCACCAACTAGCAGTGAACTGGGACACTTTCTTTGGAAGCCTTTTTCTCAAAATCACAGTTTAGTGACAGTTCAATATGATGTATCTTGCTTAATATTTGGAGTACAAAGACAATATTGTGATGTCTTTAGAATGCTAAGAACCTCTTTCCAACAGTAAATGAAACTCAAAATGTGTTTGAGTGAATGTGACTGAAAAT